ATAAACATAGCGTCCCAGCGATCGAGTTGTGTTATACTTCTCAATTACTTCCTGGGACTCGCATGTTTGCTTGCATTGGCAATTTAGATTCTGTTGCCCCAAAATGTCGTAACAGAGGCCATTTGAAATGTCTTAACTATTTTGGTTAATTGTTAAATCTCCTAGGTATATAGTTCGTTTCTATTAAAAAACCACAGGCTTTCACGAATTTCCTATTATGATTTTACTTCAAACTGAAAGAAAAGAATAAAGTTTTGTCTAGTTTCATGCTGGGAAGCTGAAGCATATGCCATGCCTGTAATAACGGCGCAACAGTGTCGTTCGTCTGGTCTACTTAAAAGATCTCTTCCAGTTCTTAGTAAAAGTGGTTTTGTGCCGCACAATGGCTTCAAAGGAGTTCGTGAAAAAACAAATTACCCTCGTGGATACTACCCTAGGAGCCTATCATAGCTAACCTAACTAAGCCCGGCCAAAGCAAGGATCGACGGAAGAAAATTTTTCTTTACCAACAGAGTAGTTTCAGCGTGGAACGCTCTTCCAGAATAGGTTGTGCTCTCCATTTGTGTCAATGCATTTAAGAGTAGACTGGACATGTATCAAGTGCAAACGCAATTAAGGTGAAAACTCCTTCATCAGATTACAATGAATCACATTAAAATGATTAACATTGTATATCACATACACTGCATCAAATTATACTACTCGCGATTTGAAAGTAGCCATATATTTTTCTTTCATATTTTTGTGCAGGTTGTTTTCCTGTAACATGTAACTGTCGTACATTTTAAATTTTTCTTTGTATCAACTTATTTCCTATCATCCTGTTACCACCAGGGAGTTCAAAGGCATTTACCTATCTTTCCCTCAATAAACTGACTGACTGACTGTATGCCTAAAGCGAAAAAAGGATGCCGCGTCATAGGTTTGGAGAGACGTTTTTCAACGTACCGTTTGCTAAATCTAGTTAACCCTCACATTGAAAGTGTGGCATTTTCGCAAATTATTCCATACCTACACGCTACATTTCGTCGCAGAAATATTGTCCTTACAGCACTCTATCACACTCACAACTATGTCAATAAGTAAGCGATATAAGGGCCGTACTTAGTATTTGTGATGCGCAATGAGGATAAGTAATGCAAAGTAGGTCCTTCCGGTGT